AATGAACACAATGATGAGACAGCACCTCACACCTCTCAGAGTGGCTTTCATCAAAAGGCCAAGAGATGACAAGTGTTGGTAAGGAAATGGAGAAAAGGGAGCCCTTATACAGTGCAGGCAGGAATGTAAATTGGTTTAACCACTATGGAAAACAATATTGGGATTCTTCAAAAAAATAAAAAATGGCTCTACTGTATGACTCAACAATTACACTTCTGGTTGTATACCCAAAGGAAATGAAAACAAGATGTTGAAGGTATGCATTCAACTTCCGTGTTTACTGTAGCATTATTCACAATAGCAGAGATATGGAAACAACCTAAGGGACCATCAGTGGATGAATGGATAAAGAAGTGGTACATAGATTTAATGGAATATTATTCTGCCACATAAAAGAAGGACATTCTGGCATTTGCAGCAACATGGATAGACCTTGAACATATGATGCTAAGTGAAATAAGTCAGACAGAGAAAGAAAAGTATATGGTGTCACTTGTATGTGGAATCTGAAAAAACCAAACTCATAAAAACAGGAAGTAAAATGGTAGTTATGAAGGGATTGGGGAAATAGGACAGATGTTGTTTAAGGGTACAAACTTATAATGAGTAGTAATTAAGACCTAGAGATCCAATTCACAGTATAGTGAATACAGACAACAATATTGTATTATAATTCTCAAACTTGCTAAAAGACTAGATCTTAATGATTCCAACTGCTACAAAGGAAAGATGATTATGTAACTTGATAGAGGTGCCAATTATTGTTACAATGGTAATCATACTACAATATATAAATGTATCAAATTAACCTGTTATGCATCTTAAATTTGCACTGTTATATGTCAAATATATTTCAATAAAAAAATTACTGGGCAAAGCAAAGAGGCGGGAAAATGTGACTAACGATAAAGAGGAAAAAGGAGACCCACAGAGGATCCATAAATTGAAGTTAGCACACAAAGACTTTTGAATAACTTTGATTAATATATTGAAGTAGAGGAAAATAACAAAAATCATTAAAAAATGAATTTCAAAAGACAACTAGAATCTATTTCTAAAATCCCTAGAATTGCAAAGCCTGAAATTAAGAACTTACATGATAGCTAGGTTTCATATCAGATTACCACAGCAGAGGATAAGATTAGTGAACTTGAAGACCAGTCAATAAAAAATTCAGACTGAATCACGGAGAGAAAAGAAGAGAAAAACAGAACATAAGAGAAACATGGAAAATAGAAGGTCTAAAATCTGTATAATGGGAGTCCCAGAATCAGAACAGAAAGAGAATGAACAAAATGCAACATTTGAAAAGGTCATGACTGAGAAAATAAATCAAAAGGCAACATTTTCATATATTGGAATACAAGGCAGTTCAAAAAGTGAACTACATTTATAGGTATCAAGCTGAGAAGATATCAAGCTGATTTCAAACACATGTGAAATGAGGGCAAAAAAATATGTAGAGAATGATATGTAAACTTCAAAGACACAAAACAACATTGTTTACATGATGGATATGCTATGTATAATTTAACAATATGCACATACACATGTATATGTATATAAAAATACAAGTAAAAGAAACTGGATGGGTGCATGGAAAATTCAGTGGTTGCCTCTGTGAAGGGAGAGGAGATCTTTGGTAGAAGAAATAAGGGGGACTTTAGTTTTATCTGCATATTTCACTTATTTTGTTTCTAAAAAGGTATGAAGTCGGTGTGACAAAATGTTAGTAAGAGTTAATGCTAACTCTTCCATGCGTATGTGGATGTTTGCTGCATAATTCTCTGTGCTTTCCTGTATTTAAAATTTTTTCAAAAGAAAAATTTTAATTCATCCACCTCTTTGCTACAGCAAGTCTTTTCCCTGGACGCCACTGATAAAAGCAGCAGCCACTGGGTATTGTAGTATCACTTCAAGGCTGATATCATGTCAGTTGCATCTGCATTATGTGAAAGCAATTTATTTGATTACAGTCCATAGCATTTAAGTAGATAATTAAGTTTGTTAGGTGTCAGGTATACAAGAGCTACCAATGAACTAAAGACATTTTCCTTTTACACTTGCAGTTTATTATAAACTCAATCTTAGAGAATTACACTATAGTGAGTGTTGGATGTTTCTGTCTATAACATCCAGTACTCTTGGTGATTATAAGAATTATATCTGCCACTTTTATTTCCACTCAATAGGTTTTCTTTGCTTCCCTAGCCATTCTTCATTGTAATTACATGTCAGTCACATGAACCAGCATTATTTGGTACTTTACAACAAGCATTATTTAGTTTCTTCCATGCACAAAACCACTATACTGAGTATGGATGAAATAGAGACAAAGACGTCACCATTCCTACCTTCATGAAGCCCAGTGCAATATGGGAAACAGGCAAAGAGTCAAAATCAAAACAAAATAAATTCTATGATGGTAAGAAGAGTTGTGAGAGCTACAGAGCAAATAATACTGAATTACAATTATGGAAGGTTCCAGAAGAGGGCACCTCTGAGCTTACCCTTGAAGGAATAATAGAATTTCTCCAGAGTATAGACAGAAACACAAAATATATGATGTGTCCTCATAAAACCAGAAGTCTAATGTGGTCAGAGTGAACGATTTTCTGGGAAACCTGTCTGGGGCATGGGACATGTAAGGACACAAGGCTTGGAAGATCCTTGAACGGCACAGTAAAAAAAAAAAAAAGTTTGGGATTTATTCTAGAGGCAATGAGAACCCACTGAAACCTTTTGAGTAGGGAGCTGATAAGTGATGGGTTTTAACCAATATGGACAGCAGTGCGATGGGAGAGAGAGGCTAAAGTCTGAGGCAAAGAAGCCAGTTAGAAAAGCAAAGTCTGAAATCCCGTAGGGACAGTGGGGAGGAGGGAGAGATGAGAAACATTTTTGAAGGGTAATTGTCTAAATATAGAGGCTAATGGCTCTGAAGGTTGAGCTACAGCTGAGACCTGGTTTTTATTCCAGATACCTCTGAGAGGAAGCGGGAAGGAGGTTTAAGGATGAGATTGATAATTGGTTTGGAGAGTGCTATTTCTGTAGCATAACAGCAGATGACTGGAAATTCCCCGAGAAGAGTTATAGTTAGATAGAGATAGAGAAATGAGAATCCTTATCAGAGAAATAATAATGAAGTCGTGAAAATGGATGGACTCACCCAAGGAAGGGAAAGTAAGGAGAAAAACGAAACCAAAGGAAACGGCCAAAGGGAATACCTATATCTGTTGGTGGGTGGAGAGTAACTTCGTGTGAATGTGACCAAAGATAGGGGGCACACTAGAGGTGGCAGTATCACAGAGATGACCTAGGTGGACTCTTCAGGTCTCTGGAATCACACCACCTGAGTTAGAGTTGCCTTTCAGTTACACGTTTTGGGCAATTTACCTGATCTCTTTGTGCCTCAGTTTCTTCACCTGTAAAATAAGGATAATAATATTGGGTGGTCGTAAAAGTCATGATGTATTTTTTCTGTTTTTCGTTGCAAAAATGCGTCATGACTTTTTCAACACCCCAATAATACCCACCTCATAAGGTCATGAAAATTAAATTAATTAATATATGTAATTAGAACAGTGTCGGTTACACTGAAAGTGGTGTATAAATGTTAGTCATTGTTTTCTTGATGTTACTTTCTAAAATAAATTTTAAAAAGTAAAAATAGTAAAAAATACAGTCATTCTGTCAAATACTTTTTTTGGAGTCCATGATGCTGCGTAAACCGTATATATTTTTTTTAATTATGTTGTCTGGTTGCTTTGCATCAAGGACTGCCTCTGTTTAACTTTTTATTTTGCAAAGTTGCAAAAATAGTAGCGTTCTCATATTCTCTTCATCTTGCTTCCCCTAATGTTGACATCTTGCATATCTGTTAAAGCTAGAAAATTAACATTAATATAATACTATTCATCACAGAACTGTTTGAATTTTTCCAGTTTTTCCACTATCTTATTTTTTGTCCAGGATCCAACATTGCATTTAAATGCTGTTAGCTCCTTAGTTTCCTCCAGCCTATGATAGTTGTTCAGTCTTTATTTTTCCTAAATCTTGACATGATTATGATCTTGACATTTGAAGACTACTGATTGGTTGTTTTGTAGAAGGACCTTCAATTTGAATTTGCGTGATGTATTCACATGATTAGGTTGAGGTTATGCATTTTTGTCAACAATACCACAGAAATGATACTGTTTCCTCCTCAGTGTATCGTATCAGGGGTATATGATATGAATATGTCTTATTACTGGTGGTATTAACTTTGACCACTTGAAGGTGATGTCTACCAGGTGTCACTACAGTAAAGATACTAATTTAAATCCCTTTGTAATTAGTAAGTATCAATATGGGGAAATATTTTAAGAATATACAAATATACTTCTCCCTGCCAACTTTAGCATTCTTTGATGGTTCTTGCCTTCAACAATCATTAGAATTCTACCATAAGAAAGAATGGCCACTTCTCCCCTATTTAGTTATTTATTCAATTATTTGTTGAGATGAGTATATATTTATATCAGTATGGACGTAGATATTTAGTCTTTAGATTATAATCCAACACTATCGCTATTTAGTTTATTGCACTTTGGCCATTGGGAGCTCCTTCAAGTTGTCCTGTGTCCTATTGGGGTGTCCCATCTTTTTTCAAGCACTTCCTAACTTTCTGGCATCACAAGATATTCCAGGCCCCTCTCGTATTTTCCCCAGCATAGCTCTGGAATCAAACATTTCTCCAGGGAGCCCTGGCTCCTTCATTAGAGAACGGCAGGTAGGAAACAAGATCCGGACCCGGTGTAGATCACTGCTTCTAGGATGCCGTTGTCTCCAGGCCCAGGAGCGCCTCTTTTTCCAGGGGCCCGGCCATCTTTCTGGAAGAGATCTTCCCTGTGCTTCTGGACTGGGAAAAATAGGGGTTAAAACAATGAGACATTCAGGTTATTAGCCTTTTAAAAATAGTCATGGGAAACCAATACACTTTTTTCTTTTTCCTTTTCTAGTTCTTCAGTTTGGATTCACAACTATCTTTGTGGCAGCTTTTCCCCTAGCACCACTTCTGGCCTTACTGAATAACATAATTGAAATACGACTTGATGCTTACAAATTTGTCACACAGTGGAGGCGACCTTTAGCCTCAAGGGCCAAAGACATAGGTAAGTTGGATTTGGGTATGTTGTTGAAAAGATATTAACCATCTGGTAGATAAAATTAAAATAGACACCAACTTTAGATTTTTACTTATGGTTTCCACGTAAAATGACTCAACTAACTCTTGCAAAAGAATAATTATGTTAGCTTTAAATAATCACATAAGAAGTAAAGCAGCCTATTTGGAAATTTATCATTTCTAGTGCTAAAGAATTTGTACTTACATAGATTCTCAATTTGTGTTTTTTTTTAAGACTTTGGAAGCTAAAATTTCTATGATCGTATATTTCCTTTTTAGAGTATGCCTCCCATTTGCTTAACTTTGTTTTGCTCTTTCCTAAACGTTTGCCTGAGTCAAATGAAACATGACCCAGTTTTTCTGAAGGCGGAGATGAACTTTGATCTTTGACTGGAGATGCTGAGTTGAATCAGGTGCAGGCTCTTGAGAGCTGCCTGAGATCAGAGACTTTTTTATTTGTTTCTGCATCCAGAGCGGTCAGGTGGTGCTCAGTCAGTGCGTGGGGAAGAGGACGGAGTGTGGGTGTATTTGGCTCCCCGTGGCCTTTTCACCTCCACATGAAACAAACACACAGTCAGTGAGCACCTACCCTGGGTCAGTGCATCAGGAACTGGGCCCACGAAGATGAACTAAGGGACCCTGTCTGTACCCCAGGGAGCTCTCAGTCTGGCAGTGGCTTGACATGGCATATGCCCATCTTACCAGATGGGGTTTTGGTGCCTGACCATTGACCAGAATTCTCTACTTAAGTCATGAGCATTGGCACTTCCACAGAAAGTCCTTCAATGCCAAGGTGTTTACAAGTACAAATTCTTACTCCTGGTGGCAAGTGTCAGTATTTGGGAAGATGAAAGGACCCATGGAAAAGACTATTGAAAATTAATGACCCCAGTTGTTTTCAGATTTATTACCTCTGCTGTTGTGTCTGGAAATAATGCAACACTTCTCTTTGCATAGGAATTTGGTATGGCATCCTTGAAGGCATTGGAATTCTCTCTGTAATCACAAATGCGTTTGTCATAGCGATAACATCTGACTTCATCCCTCGCTTGGTGTACGCTTATAAGTACGGACCTTGTGCAGGCCAAGGAGAAGCTGGGCAAAAGTAAGTGTGCTGTGAAACTTGTGCACTCTCCACTGCCTAGCCATTGTGTGGTGCCGGGACACTTAGAAGCCTCTGCATTGGAGTACATGGGACACAGGAAGAGAAGGCCTGTGGTGAGGGAGGTAGAATTACAACAGCACTTTCAGCCAAAGAAAACACATCTTGCTCTACAGAAAGGAGAGGGGTTATACAAGTCAGAAAATTTCGAGATGGAATCCATTGGGAGAGTAGCAATTAATCGCTTTCCCCACCCCAACCTCTATAAATTCAGAAGTGTGTGGTATGCAAAAAACATGGTACATAATGTGGTGTCCTGTTATGCCGTTTTTATGAGTTTGTAAAGGGACAGTTACAATCTGATTCCCCTTATGTCCTTATATGTAGACTCTGCAAATTCTCCATCAGAAATATGTAACCATGTGCTGAGTACCCACTCGGTACTCAGTAAATATTTATGGAATAAATAACTGAATGATGCTTTCCAGGCTACTGGCCTGACCAGTGTTTATATTACCGCAGGCAAATTGGGTGAGCTTAATTCCCTGGGAGCTCAAGTCTGTGGTATCACCTCAGTGGTTTCCAAAGCCAGGGCTGTGTATTTCCAGTCAGATACAGCCTAGGCAAAATTATAACATGTCCCCTAGTTTTCATTGCTATACCCTTAGGAAAAAAAAAAGTCTCAACATACTTGCATGGAAGAAAAATCCCTGTTTGGCAAATGTCAAAATAATCTTATTGTGGGATTTATGTGTCTGTAGGTCAGAGTGGGATGTGTGCTGGGGATCGTAGGGTCTTTCCAGTGCCTCAGAAATCATCCCATATGGGCTGCTGAATACTCAGACAAGCAGCCCTGACTCCTGGTTTACTAATGTAAGCCAGACTAATTCATAGTCTATAGCTACTGTAGTTTGAGTAGCCCCAAGGAGTAAAGTGTCACTGAATCAAGATAACTGAATTCACACACACCTGGCCTAAGTCCAAAATCATTATTCTGACATAAAAGCTCTAAAGCATGGATGATCAAATGCAATAAAGCTCACAATCCAGCTATTTGAATAGATTTCTATGAAATTCTTTACTACAATAAACACTTGGCCATTAAACACTAATGATCTAGCAACTAGTGAGTGTACTATCCCATTTTAAGAGATATTTGAAGACTTATGTTGCACTACCCATGCATTTCTTTTCCTCATAATCATTGTCAACATTCTCTGCTTGACTGAGCCTAAAAAAAGCTTACCTTTGTTCAAACCACTTTCACGTATGTTTTGCATTTGATTCTCAAAACAACCCTGGGAGAGGGATAGGCTTTATCACCCTAACCTTAAAGAGCAGAAAGAGATTTAGAGAGGTTAAATCCAGAATCACAAGGCAGTGCAATTCCTGGAGCCCACACAAGGTAACACCTAGACTCATGTAGTGCTCTTCAAACTGAACCTCACAGCCCTCAGAACACTTTCCAGTAAGTGGTTATCTACCTGACTAACAATAAACTCCATGCAAGTTAAATCCCAATGGTTATTGCAGTTCTTTCCCTACTCCAAATATGGTGAACCTCTGTTGTTTGGGAGTGAACCAAAAAAATAAAGTAGAAACATTTATGCACAGTTGATAGTGAATCAAAGCTTTAGAATTTTAACAGCCTATTAGATTTAAGACAATGTTCATGATGCTTAAAAATTCATCTAATAGCCTCCTTAATTCAGTTTTATTGGACTCTCTAGGGCTTTTTTTTTTTATATAACCTTTCTCTTTGACTTAACAGCCTTCTGCCACTTTAAAAATTTAAAGATCTACCTTTTATCTTCTAATCCAATTGGTCATTTTTCTTGTTTTCAAGTAGGTTCATTTGTGTATGTTTCTTCATGAAGCCTATTTTCTGCCCCAGCAGCTACTCTAGTATTCTTTTCAGGCTTTTTTCTTTTTCAAATTTAGAAATGCTTTAGAAATGACTGAACTGACAAAGGAACAACATGGTCAAATTTTAGATGTCAGAGGCTTTCGGGTAGTTTGTGTAGCCATAGACAAATCCCACTTCTTATGATTTAATCCAGATGCAGAGATGCCATATTTCAATTTAAATTGACCCTAAATCAAAAGTATTCCAACCAAACCAAACTTTTCTCCAACATTCCAGGCTACCTCCATGCCACCTTCTTTTCCTTCCTACGGCTTTTCTTGGCTTCTCCGTGGATGAGAATTTCACTCACGTGCCCAGGGTCATTCAGTTCCCATGACCCTTTTCCCCATGACATCGTATTTTACTTATTCCTGGCTGTGCATTCCAACCAGTCTGTCTGCTCTCATGGATGCATTCTATTCAGTGGCATAATAGAAAAGACAGTGTCATTTTTCAGCCACATAGGTTTGAGGCAATGTTCTCCACACAGTAGTTACCCGAAATTTTTTCAAATGCTTTTTACCTTTCCTCTTCAGGTATTCTTTTCACCTGCAGCCTGCCTGGGCTGATTCCCAGACCAATGCCCATGTTCATTGTTTGGAAAACAGTCACTTCCTCTTATAGGGACTCTTCAAAGGTGTCATTTAGAAAAAAACCTTAAAGAACTAAAAATCACCTCTGAGCAGACACTGGGAGACAAAAATTATGAAGTTACATTGAAGCTGCATACTATAAAATTGTTTTGTCAATCCAAGTTAAAATTTCAATCAACAAAGTAAAAATTTGACTTCCAGTTGTGATGGCAGAGTAGGTAAATGCTGTGCTCACCTTCTGTAACCACATCAAAACTACAACTAAATTATAGAACAGCTATCATTGTGAACCATCACAATGAAGAACATCACAAAAAGAAAAACAAAAAAAGCTCATAGTGAGCAGAAGAAAGGAAATAGTAAAGGTCAGAGTGGAAACAAACAAAATAGGGTCTAAAAGGAAAAACAATAGAAAAGGTCAATGAAACCAAGAATTGGTTCTTTTAAAGCAAAGAAAATTGATGAACCTTTAGCCAAATTCATCAAGAAAAAAAGAGAGGACAAAGTAAATAAAATTAGAAATGAGAGAGGGGAAATGACAACCAACATCATAGAAGAACAAAGGATTATCAGGAAATATTGTGAACAATTATGTGCCAACAAATTGGACAGCCTAGAAGAAATGGATAAATTCCTAGAAACATACAATTGTCCAAGACTGAACCAGGAAGAAACAGAAAATATAAACAGACTAATAACTACTAACAAAATCAAATCAGTATTCAAAAAACTCCAAACAAACAAGAGAGCCCTGTACCAGATGGCTTCACAGGTGAATATTACTAAATATTCAAAGGAAAATTAATACCTATCCTCAAACTATTGCAAAAAAATGAAGAGGAGAGAAGACTCCTAAATTCACTTTACAAGGACATCATTACCTTGTTACCAAACCAGACAAAAACATTACAAAAAAAGAAAATTATAGACCTGATGAACTTAGATGAAAAAATCCTCAATAATTTATTAGCAAACCAAATTCAGCAAACATTAAAAATATCATACACCATGATCAAGTGGGATTTATTCTCAGGATGCAAGTCTGATTCAGTATCTGCAAATCAATCAATGTGATACACCACATAAACAAAATGAAGTATAAAAATCATATGATTATATCAGTAGATGCATAAAAAGCACTTGAAAAAATACAGCATCCATTTATAATTTAAAAATCTCATCAAAGTGGGGATAGAGGAAACATACCTCAACATAATAAAGCCCATATATGACAAACCCATAGCTAACATCATACTCAATGGTGAAAAGCTGAAAGCTTATTTGTTAAGATCAGGAACAAAAGAAGGATATCACTTTTTTTTTTAATTAAATTATTTTTTATTATGAAATACACATTTTTTAGAATTAGTTTCAGCTGTACAACACAGTGCAATAGTTATACTTTTTACCCCTCGAAGTGACAACCCCCCTACCCCAATCCGCCGCCCCATTTCCCCCCAATATCATACATATCTATTACAAATCCCTTGACTCCATTCCCACACTATACTCCATGTCCCATGAATATATATATATATATATATATATATATATATATATACATACATATATACACACATATGGGGAAGAGGCTTGATCACTGCACTGTACACATGAAGCTGATGTTGTATAATATTGTATGTCAACTATAATTGAAGGATATAACTTTTGCCACTTTTATTCAACATAGAACTGAAAGTCATAACCACAACTGTCAGACAAGATAAAAATAAAAGGCATCCAATTGGAAAGGAAGAAGTAAAACTGTCATTATTTGCAGATGACATAATACTATATATACAGAGCCCTGAAGATCCCACCAAAAGCTATTAGAATGGATAAATGAATTCATTAAAGTAAGAAGATACAAAGTTTATATTCAGAAATCAGTTACATTTTTATACACCAATAACAAACTATCAGAGAGAAATTAAGAAAATAATTCCATTTACAATTGCATAAAAAGAATAAGATACCTGAGAATAAATGTAACCAAGGAAGTAAAAGACCTATACTCAGAAAAGACATTGAAAAAGATAAAAATAAATGGAAGGATATACCATGTTCATGGATAGGAAGAATTAATGTGGTTAAAATGTCCACACTAGTCAAAGCAAACTACAGATTCAGTGCAATCCCATCAAAATATCAATGAAATTTTTCACACAACTTATTTTTCCAAGGTTTTCACTTTTTCCAATCCCTATATGCTACTTGAGTCACAATGTCTAAAACATCAAAGGCAATTTTAGTAGCAGAATTCAAAGATACTCTACAGTGAGTCTGCTCTGGAGTCTACAAATTCAGATGTCAACTTATGATTCTGTTCTTTCTCTTGAAACTAATTATAATGATCACTAGTTCATCCTTTTCCCCATAGTAAGGGATTGAAAACATCAAGTAATGAATGGTTTTAAAACCAGAATTCTCACATTTAAATGAATGTGGTCTTCTCAGAAGTTACTTGGAAGAGGTATGTATCCTAATTCAAACAATGCTACCTTTACATGAGACATTTTCTGAATCTCCTTTCTTGGAAATGCCTTCAGAGGCCATCTACCAGTTCTATAAGAAAATTGACTTCATTATTTTATATTCATAGGAAATCCTTCCTTTTTAGTTATTGTCTCCATACCCCTTACTTCTCCCTGATCATCTTTCCCCTGTCTCACTTGGAAGTGGTGGTATGTCACACAGTGAGGGTATATACAGCTCCTGCCAGCAAACTGAGTGATTAGACATGGGATCTACTGCTGCGACAGTAGGTCACTGAGTTGACACATGAATGCCATTTGGCCAAAGTTTATGCAGCAAAGTTTGGGAAATCTCATTTCATTGAATTGATGACAGTCTCAGCTATTTGATGGTGGTGAGCTAAGATTCTATCATAGTGAAAACAATTAGAGAAATGCCTAGACAGTTCAGTATTAGCAGTCTCTCTTTGTCCATGATTATGGAAATTATGTGGAAAGGAGACTTATACAGCTGGTAACTATGTATATATGTACTAGGTCCATGTATAATGCTTTGCACCCAGAAGGAATACACATCCACTAAAGGCACATTTTCAACTTGTATTTTTGATGTGAAAATACTTAATAAATAGTCTAAAGATATATTCTCTTTATTTTAAGGCTAGGGTGTTCAGTCCATAGGACACGCATTTCATTTGAATTTAGATTTTTAAATTAGGTTTTGGAACAGAGTAGTCATTAGACATCAGCTTCAATCTCAGAGCTGCTTTGTGAGAAAAAGAGTATAGGAGGGGTTGTGAAATTCCATTTCAATGCTGGGTCTGTTTTTTGCACCTTTCCTTTTCCACTGCCCATCTCCTGAGAAGACTGCTATTTTCTGTATTTCACAAAAATATGACTCCCTCTCAAGACACTAATTTGTTTCCATGTCATGTTCTAAGCAGTTCATAGATGAGGGAGACATAATTCCAAATCAGCCTTTCAAGGAGTATTAGGGGAGGCCTGCTGCCAGTTGGACTAAGGCATGTTCCACACTCACTGTTTGTTTCACCTATGAATGTTTTGTTAAATGGGTCCTTCTGCTTGATTCATTTTTTTTTAAGACCATGATAAAACCAGTCATTTGTTTTGAGTGAGACAACGCATAGAACCCATGTACTCTCAGAACTATGTTCATGTCATTATTTTGGTTTGGTGTTCAACAACTTGGGAATAATCACACCAGGTAATTTAATAAAGTTTGAAGACCATGATTTATTCAATCAATCAATAATAACTAATGACCTCCTGCTAGGTACAAGAAATAAAGTAAATTAATAGCCACTTACACTGATTAAGATCTTGCTATTGGCTAAGCAATATATCACTTACTTTGTATGTATAATTTTATGACCCTATGAGGTGGGGACTTTTGTCACTTAAAGAAGTTACATAATTTTCTAAGATTACATGTCTAGAGAGCAGCAGGGCTACAATTTGACTGCAAAGCCCAATATTCTGACCCCCAGTATAGAATGAAAGCCATGTCTTCAAGAACCTGATAATCCCTGGGGGTCCATGCAATAGTTTTATTCCTGGTCCAGTCTCAAGACCTTGATAGAATCTCTGGTACTTTAGTTTTTCTCCAATCACAACAATTAAGTGCAGTGTTTACTGGATTCCTACAGAGCATGAGACTGTCCTAGGTCCTAGAATACAAAAATATCTAGGACACCTGCTCTGCTTAAAGAAACGAAACAAAACAAAACAAAAACCTACAGCCTAAAGGAGTATACATACACATATGCAGCCAACTCTAGCACAAGCTGTATGGCAATTGTGAATTAAGTATAGTGGCACTATAGAGAGAAGGGAATGAGTCTTCCGACTAGGATTAGGATGCCTTCCCAGAAAGTATGGCATTTCAGTTGGCCATTGAAAGGTGAGCACTGTTTTACTTGTAAAGAAATTAGTAGGGTAACCCAACAGAAAAGACAACCTGAGCGCAGGCATGAAAGCACAAGATACATGCAGGGAATATAGTCTAGCATAACTGTAGCATGGGATGTGAGTTGGAGAGGTGGCACCATATTCACACCAATCACACTCAGGGCATTATGACACAGCATAGATATTAACAAAGTAATGTGTTTATATGGGCATGTGTATCATCTCTGTGTGTATATGTCATCAATGAAAGAAGCTGTGACTTACCTATAATTTATGCTGGTTATGCAATGCTGTCTTTAACCTATTTTACTGAAGCATTTTTTGGGGTGGTGATTTTCTGTCTGATGATTCTGCACAGAAAGGACTAGAACAAAAGAAATGACTTGTTCCCAATTCAACATACCCAGGATGTTTCAATGTATCCTAACTTGAGTGCTTGTGACAAGGCAGGGTCAGCTGAGGGCATTTACAACTGTAGGAAATTCTAGGAAGTAGAGCCTTTAGTGAATTAGATGCCGAGGTGATCAGGGTTCTAATTATAGAATTTGCTTCCTATTTTAGGTGCATGGTTGGCTATGTAAATGCCAGCTTGTCTGTGTTTCGAATTTCTGACTTTGAGAATCGTTCTGAGCCTGAGTCTGATGGCAGTGAGTTCTCGGGGACTCCTCTCAAGTACTGCAGGTGAGCGTGGTACTCTTAACCTAAGATGGGCTGGCTCTGCCATAGGGAGAGCTCAGCACTTTCTGACTGACTTGGCTTAAAGCAGTGGTTCTCAACCTTAATATTCACTAAAACCCCCTGTAGATCTCCCTTTGACCAGGCTGTGACCCAGACCAGTTAAAACAATCTCTGAGGAGGGAACCCTGACATCCAGGTCCAGGAAACCTATAAAATTCCAAATAAGAACAACTCAAAATGACCTATACCAAGATGTTATAATTAAGGTGTTAAAAATTAAAGACAAGGGGAAAGGATTAAAAGCAGAAAAAGAAAAACAACTTGTTACATACAAGGGAACCCTAATACGACTATCAACAAATTTTTCAGCAGAAACTTTGCAGGCCAGAAGGGAGTGACACGAGATAGTCAAAGTGCTGAAAGAAATAAACCTCCAGCCAAGATTACTCTCCTTGGCAGAATTGCCCCTCAGAATTGAAGGCGAAATCAAGAGTTTTCCAGACAAGCAAAGCTAAAAGGAGCTCATCACGTCTGGACCAGCCTTACAAGAAATGTTAAAGGGACTACTTTAAGCTGAAACAAAAAGGTGCTAATTAGTAATATGAAAACCTATGAAACTATACATCTCACTATAAATATGTAGAAAAGTTAGTGAAATAATCATTTATAAAGCTAGTATGAAGGGTAAAAGACAAAAGTAGTAAAACTAATTATAATTCCAATAATTAGCTATGGGATACCTAAGATAAAAAGATGTAAACAGTGACATCAAAAACAAAACATGGCAGAAGAGTAAAAATGTAGAGCTTTAGAATGCAATTGAACTTAAGTTATCAACTTAAAATAGACTGTTATAAATACAAGTTGTTATAAGTAAGCTTTATGGTAACCATAAGGTAATGATGGGTCTTATTTTTTTGCCATTCTATCACTCCATGTCTTTTGATTGGAGAATTTAGTCCACTTACTTTTAAAGTAGGTACTGATAAATGTGTACTTAATTGTTTTCTGGCTGTTTTGTAGTTTCTCTCTATTACTTTCTTCTCTTGCTCTCTTCCTTTGGGGTTTGATGACCCCTATTTAGTGGTATGCTTCGATTCCTTTCCTTTTATCTTTTGTGTACCTATTATAGTTTTTTGCTTGTGGTTACCAAGCAAGCTTATAGCTCATGTCATACTCAATGGTGGAAACCGAAAGCTTTTTCTCTAAGATCAGGAACAATACAAGGAGGCCCAGTCTTGCCACTTTTATTCAACATAGTATTAGAAGTCCTAGCTAAAGCAGTTAGGCAAGAAAAAGAAAAGTCATACAAATCAGAAAGAAAGACGTAAAACTGTCATTATTTGCAAATGACATGATAGTATACATAGAAAACCCTTAAAGGCTCTACCAAAAACCTGTTAAAACTAAAAAACAAATTCAGTAAAGTTGCAGATAGAAAACCAATATACAAAAATCAGTTGTGTTTCTACAACTAATAGCAAACTATCAGAGAAATTAAGAAAACAATCCCATTTACAATTGCACTGAAAAGAATGAAATACTTAGGAAATTTAACAAAGATGGAGAAAGACCTATACATTGAAAATGATAAGACACTAATTAATAAAATTGAAGGCACAAATAAATGGAAAGATATCCCATGCTCATGCATTGAAGGAAATAATTTTTAAAATGTTCATACTACTCAAAAAAATCTACAGATTCAATATAATCCCTATCAAAACTCTAATGGAGTTTTTTACAGAAATACAACAAAAAATCCTAAAATTTGTATGGAACTACAAAAGAGCCAAAATAGCCAGAGCAATGTTGACAGAACAAAGAACAAAGCTGGAGGCATGACTCTTTCTTATTTCAAACTATATTACAAAGCTATAGTAATCAAAACAGTACGGTATTGGCATAAAAACAGGCATACAGAGCAATGAAACAGAATAGAGGGCCCAGAAATAAATGTATGAAAATGCACATGTAGTCAATTTATTTATGAAAAAGGATTCAAGAATATACAATAAGGAAAATACAGTTTCCTCAGTAAATGGTTTGGGGAAAACTGAACAGTCACATGTAAAAGAATGAAACTAGACCACTGTCTTACACCATACACAAAAATAAACTCAAAATGGATCAAAGAGTTGAACATAATACCTGAAACCATACAACTCTTAGAAGTAAACATAGGCCGTAAGCTTCTTGACATTGGTCTTGATGATGATTTCTTGAATCTGACACCAAAAACAAAGACAACAAAAGGAAAAATAAACAATGGACTACATCAAACTAAAAAAACTTCTGCACAGCAAAGGAAATCATCAACAAAATGATAGGCTACCTACAAAATGGGAAAAACTACTTGTAAATCATATATCTGATAAGGGATTAGCATGCAAAGTATATAAAAAACTCATACAACTCAATAGCAAAAAAATAATAATGAAATTTAAAAGTTGGGACTTTTTTTAAAAAATAGACACTTTTCCAAAGAAGACATACAGATGGCTGACAGGCACATGAAAAGATGCTCAACAGTACTAATCATCAGGGAAATGCAAATCAAAATCACAATGAGATATCACCTCCCACCTGTTAGAATGACTATTATCAAAAAGACAAGACATGGAAACAACCAAAGTGTCCTTCGATAGATGATTGCATAAAGAGGATGTGGTACATACATACAATGGAATATTACTCAGCCACAAGAAAAGATGAAATACTGCCATTTGCCACAACATGAATGGATCTTGAGATTATCATACTAAGCAAAATAGGTCAGACAGAAAAAGCCAAGAACCATATGATTTCACTCATATGTGGGATATAACACTGAAAGCAACAACTGAACAAGACAAGCAAACAAACAGAAACCGATAGATACAAACAACAGTATGGTGGCTACCAGAGGGTTAGAGGGAGGTGGTAGAAGAGGGTAAAGGGGGTCAAATAGAAGGGGCTTTGACTTTGGATAATGAAATACAATACATAGATGACATTTTACAGAATCGTATACTTGAAACCTATATAATTCTATTAACCCCAATAAATTTAATTTCAAAAAGATGAAAAATATCATCAGTGTTGGTGAAGATGTGGAGTAAAGGGAATCCTTGGGCACTGTTGGTGGGAATGTAAATTGGTGCAGCCACTGTGGAAATAGTATGGAGGCTTCTCAAAAAATTCAAACTAGAACTACCATATGAATCAGCAATTCTCCTTCTGGGTATTTTTTCAAAGGAAACAAAAACACTAATTCAGAAAGATATGTACACCCCCATGTTTATTGCAGCATTATTTATGATATCCAAGAGATAGAAATAACCTAAGTGCCTATTGATGAACGAATGGATAAAGAAAATGTGAGATATACACACACTCACACTGGAACATTATTCAGCCATAAAATTGAAGGTGATCCTGCCATTTGTGACAAAATAGACGGACCATGAGGGCATTATGCTAAGGGAATAAGCCAGACAGAGAAAAACAAATACTGCATGATCTCACTTGTATGTGGAATTTAAAAACAAACAAATAAAAAGTCCAAATTCATAGATTCAGAGAACAGATTGGTAGTTGCCAAAGGCTGGGGTGGGAGGTAGGGGGTGGGCAAAATGTGAAGGCAGTCAAAATGTATAAACTTCCAGATATAAAATAAGTAAGTCCTGGGGATGTTAATGCATAGCATGATGACTAGATAACAATACTGTATTGCATATTTGAAAGTTGCTAAGGGAGTAGATCTTAAAAGTTCTCATCACAAGAAAAATAATTTTAATAAAGGCAGAACCCAGAGTGGTAGCACAGCATTGCAACCAACTTTTACCCAAAGGGCATTTGCTGAACCGGATAGACTTGAGGTTTATTTTTCAATACCTTACATGGTTAGAGAAGTTGAAAGAAAAGAGAGAGAAATGATCAGCCTGTAAGTATAAATCTAAACATACACTACATAAAACAACAACCGTATATTCATATTATGGTCTATTTTATAGCAGTGGAAATTAATTAGCTACATGCAACAGCATGGATGAATCGTAGTAGCATGATAGGGGAAGAAAGCAAGCCTCAGAAGACTACATACCGTATAACACCCTTTCTAGAAATTTCAAAAACAAAGCTACACAGTGTAATATTCAGACAAATGAATATGCATATACATACATAAGTACATGTTAATTATAAAAATGAAATTCAGGATAAGAGAAGCAAGGTAAGAGATGGAGGAGCAGAGAGGTAGATAGAAGCTGGTCATCTTTTAATTCTTGGGTCACATGGTAGATTTATGAGAGTTCATTATATTATTAGAGTATTAAATAAATGTAAAAATTAGAGAAAATAAGAATATGAATAGACCAATAAGGTTAGTTATAAAAAAATTAAGAATTATGATTAAGCCAATTCTGTTCACCTGAAGGCCAAAATAACGTTATATAGAAATGCAAGGATGAAGAGTCAAGACACTTTGGAAGAATAGTAGCGAGGTGGAGATTTACCTTAGACATAGTGTAAAATTATAGAAATTAATCAGTGTAGTGTTGTCACAAGGAACAGATGAATAAAAAATGGAGTAGAACTGAGAACTCAAAAATAAATTGAATAATAACTAAAGTTGTAATCACAAATAACACATACAATATGATTCTATTTATATAAGTTCAAAGCATGCAAAACTAAGTACTATTTTATTTAGGAACACTTGCATAGGTAGTAAAACTATAAAGAAAAGCAGAAAATCACTACAGCAGTTCCCTCTCAGGGTGTCTGGGATTACCAGTGAGGCATTTCTAAGTTACTCACCATGTTCTAGGTCTTAACTTGGACAGGGGTTCCATGAGGCTCACTTATCATTCTTTCAAATGTACATACACTTTTATTTTCCCAATTTAAACAGAGGAATGAATTCACTATACCTATGTATAGAAAAACGTTTGTTCGCCAGTCATCCAATCCTGAGAAGTAAAAGTAGCTTTACAGAATACACTAAGTCAAAAGGGAACACCCCACTTTTTTCTCATGTAAAGTTGAAGACAAGAATGTAAAAGCATTACTTTATGAAAACACCTCTGACTCACTGGAAAAAAGTCCTCCAAACAATGCTACCAGATGACTTGGTGTCTTTGAAGGTACTAGACTAAAAGATTAGCGGTATAAAACTTTGATTTAATTGGCTTTGAAGCTTGACTTCCTGGTTGTTGCTACGCAGGACAGGGAAGTGTTTTCTTTGTACACGTGCCAGGGAGCCTGTAGCCAGTCATTATGCAAATTAATAACAGTGCTTCAAAAACAGAGACTCAGGGCACAGGTGGCATCTGAGCATGGCCCTCCCTCAAACCTCTGTCTCCTGGAAAAGGCCAGCGGGGTCAGGGGCAGGCTGGAGCTTCAGCTGAGAGCTTCACTTGCCACAGTCATCCACAAACTCACACAAGAAGAAGGTAAAGGGATTACACAGCACAAATTGGTAGTCACAATATTGCCACGGGGATATGAAAGACAGTTTGGGGAATATAGTCAATAATGTTGTAAAGATTTTGTAGGGCACCAGATGGGCACTTGTCTTAAGGAGACCACTTCATAGACTGCGTAGATGCCTGACCACTGCACTGTACACCTGAAACTGAAGCTGAATAATATTGAATGTCAACTGTAATCAAATATGTATATATATATTCGTATATTCATGGGATGTGAAGTACAGAATAGGGAATAGAGTCAATGGAATTGTAACAGCTATGGATGATATCAGAGGGGTAGTAGATTGGGGGAGGGGGATTATCACTTTGTGAGGGTTATAAAAGTCTAACTATTGCATTGTTTTGTACACCTGAAACTAAAAATAAAACCAAAAGCAGAAAACAAAAAAACTCATACAAGAAAAGAGTGAGAGTCCAAGAGTTTAGAGCAGGGTGAGGTGGAGACCCTAATTTTGTTGATAGGGAAAACCGATGTCCAGAGAAGCTTCATGAATTATCCAAGATCATGTTGGTCAGACAAAGCCCAATCTTGGTTCCAGGGTGCTTTCCAGTACATAATTCTGGAGACAGACAGCCAAACTCATTAGCACCACTGAGTTTAATTCTTTCAAGGTAGCAATGAAAAAATTTCTAAAGAGAAGCTTGACTTCATGGTACCATGACTTAAGAGAGTAGGAAAGCCAGAAACCTGCTGCTTCTGAAAACTGAAATTTCTTAAGAATTTTGCACCTGAGTTTTGTTCTCAGAACAAAAGTGCCAGTATGGGCTCATTGTGTTCCTCTGGGCACGGTGTAGCAGAGCTCTGTGATAGATCCACAACTGGACATACACTACACATGGGCTTAACAAGTAGATGCAGATTCTCAACAACTGGATCCTTACCTAGAAAAGATCTAGAAATGTAGCCAAGTCACCAGAACCATGAGCATAAGTGTTTTTTAATATTAAAAAGAAAAATGTAAAGAGCATTTTAAAAATATTAAAAATCCATAAATTAACATTTCAAATCACCAACTAAAAACAACTGTTTTCACTTTGCATATTAGACACATACAATTTTACACATAGAATCGTTGTGTTGGATTATCTACTCTCATCATTGAGCCATAAAACAATATTTCAACTTTCTAGTTTTGTACTTCTATTGAATGGCTGTTTATATTTGATGTGTTCTGATTTATTCAGCTGAATAAATGAATTCATTTATTTGCTATGAATTTGTAACAGGAATTTTAAGAATGATACATCTGCATCGTATTTTCCGAAAATAGTCCAGAAAAAATGGTCTGCAAGGTCAAGGAAAAACCATGATATTCCACCCAGTGAATTTAGAAGGGATCTGGGGAGGAAGAGATTTGTCAGAATTCCTCAAATGAAACGCCCAACAAGGTCTGAGAAGCTAGGAGATGGAACAGTCAAAACAAAAGGCAAAAGACAAGAGCAGAAAAGAGGGAGAAGTAGAAAAGGGACCAGTGGGTCCTGAAAAGAATTTCCTGTTTTAGTGAATACAATTGTGTAAAACATTTAAGGAATCAACGAAGGTGACTCTTGAAACAATTCAGGCTCTCTCCACTTATACTTTTGTCTAAAAATCAGCAATATATGTAATAAAAAGAATACTGCTCTTTTTCTTCTAGAATATTTACTTGAACTGTATTTGAAATATACATAGCAAAATACAAACAAAGGAATTATATATTTGTTATCTTTATTGCGGAAAACATTTTCTTGTTCTTGACTTGCTAGCTGTGCTGTGCAAAAATAAAAGGAAGTAAGTTAGAATAGTCCATGCAAACTTTCAGTCCTGAATAAATGTTTCTTCCTAAAATTCCACTCATTATTATTGGATCTGTGACAGGAACAGATTATGTAACTGTATTAGAAACAACAGTGTTTTAGATGATTACCAAATTCTCATTATCATAAAGAGAATCAACAGTTTGAAAACACTAACAGATTCATTCTTAATTTTAGCACCAGTGCTCATCATAAATAACACTTTACTGATAAAATAATCATGATACATTATTACATTCCATAGACACCAGTAATTTAGATGGCTGTGTTGATGATAATGACAGCTCATATTTTTGTAGTCCTTGATAACTTTTCAAAGAGACTCTATACAGGAATTACACGTATCCCAGTATCTGCATATGCAAATTAGTGCTGATCTTGAGGTTAGGTATTATTTTAAATGAGAACCTGGATAATCAATAGCTTTTATTCAAACAAGGGAATTTGGTATGTCCAACAACAGAAATGTTGGACTAATCAATATTTCCAGGTCTTTTCACATTTCTAGAGCTAATTAAAAGAACACTGGATTCAAAACGCATGAAACCAGTATGATGTTGAGAGAGTCACTTTTCAGTTTTCCAACCTGTGATAATAGTAATGGTATGATAAGGATAAAATGGAGCCACATGGATTTAAGTTCTTAGGATAGTGCTTGGCCCCTTGTAAATGCTCAATAAACATTTGTGGAATTTGATGCTGACTCAAAAGTTACTGTTGGAGCATACATTAGGGAGAACTCTTCAGTGGAATGTGGCAGAAATCCAGTATAAACTGACTTAAACAAGAAGAAATTCATTGGTTCAGGTAACTGGGAGTTGGAGGGGAGACAGTAACATTAGTAATGGCTAGATCCCAAACCTCTAGCAGTGTCATCAAGATACTGCCTCTCTGCTGGCTCTGCTTTGATCTGTTGATTTCATTCTCTCCACACAGTTTGTCATGGCCCCCAGCAGCTCCAGCCTCTTACCTTCTTGTGGGCTTAGTGATAATTCACTAAGTCATCATTCTAGCAGAAGTCCTGGTGATGAGTATCACTGATCCAGTCTGGCTCACCTTCTGAGCAGAGATCAGGGAGGGGGCAAGCCCTGCCCAATTCACACAGATGATTCCCCACAGGAGAAGAGAGATTCTTTTATCAGAAGAAGAAATACTGGATAAGCCAAACAACAGATGTCTAGTATTTAGAAGCTTTCTAAACTTTTCTCCCATGAATAAGGACTACATAGCGGAAATGAAAGAGATTTGGAAGTCAGGAAAATCAGTTTGGAATGTAACATTCTCCTGTGTATTTATAGATACCGAGACTACCGTGACCCTCCTCACTCACTGGTGCCCTACGGCTACACGCTGCAGTTCTGGCATGTCCTAGCAGCTCGACTGGCTTTTATCATTGTGTTTGAGGTAAGTTTTCCCAATTGACTCCTTTATACCCTTTGACATAATGAAATAACTAAAAGTAATGAATAAATATAAGTTCTGAGAACTTTCAATGGGATTATTTATGCCCAGAAGTAGTATAGTAATATTACGTAAACTTTTCCTTAATTAAAGTCCTTGAAATTTTCCAAGAAATGTTTGGAAGTCCATTGTTGATTGTTAATGGATAAGTCAGGAATCACTGGTCCTAAACTTAATATTCTAGGGCATTGATTCTTAAACTTCAGGAATATTGCAGTTTCTTCATCCCCACTCCTAGAGATTCTCATACATCATGTTTGCACTTGGCTTTTCACAAGCCCTCCAAGACAATCCTGATGCAAGTGTTTGAGGACCATAGTTTGAAAATGATTGAACTTAGTATTACAAGTGGTAGCCTCATGACATTAACTTATGTTCAAGCACACAAATAGGTATTCATTATCTAAGACTCAAAGTAGACTTATAAAGTATAATCTACCTAGTAATTGCATGTAGTATGTGTCAATAAAAACATAGTATCTATTTTCTTTTAGTCTTTAAGAAAATTGCTGCTAAAAGTAGTTTGCATTTCTATAACTGTACTCATAGAAATTGTATCTCGTGTCACATATATTAAAGCCAAACTAATGCAAGCCAAGGCTGACTTTTGGCTTGGACTAGAAGTTTACTATATCTCTTTGAAACTATTCCTTCACTTTTTTTTTTCTTCACTCCAGAAAACCAATAGAAGACAATATTAAGCTGCTCTTCCCTGGGAATTAACTTATCAATCGCTCAGTCCCTCTTTAAAGAAATTTTAACCCATCACTGTCTTAAAGTTTTTCAGACAAAATAGAGAAAGGATTGCATTAAGTTATTATTTGGCTTATCAAGTAGAGCTTCCTTTTTCAATATTGTTTTTAAGCTACTTTAAGATATTAGAAATGTACAAAAAATCCTCTTACTTGGCAGGATCATAAGCTAGCCATGAGTCACCAAATATACCAAGTTTTCAATAAAGTTAAGAATGCTTAATGGTATCATTTGGACATGATACATCATTATTTAATGCTTTAGAATTGTATGGGACTTTAAATTGTCTTCTGGGACTTTATTGGTCACCATCATATACCTGAACAGAAGTGACAGTGATTCTAGAGTTTCAGCTATTAGTATTTCAGATAAATAATTTGTGGCAGTTTACCACCCCACCCCACCCCGAAAAAAAAAAGAAAGAAAGTTTCTTCCTGAATGATCACTCCCCTAAGCCCATTGATAATTCTTGCAATGCAGAATAACAGAACATTTAACAGACTACAAAGCATCTTTAAACATGTTCGTGTAATTTTCACAATAATACCCATTTTATAAATGAGTAAATTGAGTCCCAGGTGACTTATCCTCAGGTAGGCAGACATCTATTAAGTAGTAAAAGCTACAGAGCTGGGATTCAAACCCAGGTTTTCTGATTCCACAGTATTCTTCTGGGTCTTCTTTGCATTCTTTAAACATTCCTTCTCCACCTCCTTTTCTGACTCCTCTTCTCATTCCCTATGTGGTGTCATCAGACCAAATTCAGTTTTCACCTATCCCTGAGATCCTCTTTCCTCACACACACCTCCCACTTTCCAGACACGCCATGTTGCTGGAGTAAGAAAAGCTCTTGAGCCAATACCCAGTGTTCTTAACGGCTAAGGATGGACCATAGACCTGACTCTGTTGTATTCTCTGTGTTTTTAGCACCTCGTGTTTTGTATAAAGCACCTCATTTCATATCTGATCCCAGACCTCCCAAAAGATCTCAGAGATCGAATGAGAAGAGAAAAGTACTTGATTCAGGAGATGATGTATGAAGCAGAGCTAGAGCGTCTCCAGAAGGAACGGAAGGAGAGGAAGAAAAATGGAAAAGCTCACCACAATGAGTGGCCGTGACCAGGTAGGTGAGAGGTGTGCTCGTGGCCTGAAACCTCTCCTCGGTGGACGAGGGCGCCTTAAGCTCCCTTAATCAAAGTTTGCTGTTGTTGCACTGATAGGAATCGAAAGAACTCCTTAGAAGCTTCCAAAACCAGCCTGTTTCCTACTTTAATTGCAAATTTCACTTGATCTTCCCTTCACACATAACTCCTGCAACTCTTCTTTGCCTCCTTGCCACACTCTGGCTGGGCAGTCAAGGTCTCATGAGTTGGCCTGGTGTCACCGGAAATCAACATTCCTCTTCCTTCTACTCCAGCCTGGCTTTTTCACTTTAATATCCGCAGGGCAACATGTCCCTTCTTTGTGGTTAAAGTCACCTTTTCATCTTATCTAAGATGGCCCTCCCTCCATCACCTGTTTATTATTTCCTCCCAGGCTGATTCATGTCATGCCATACCCTCCAAGTTTCCCCCAGACTCATCAGCCCATTGAGACTTACTCGTTAGAAACTTCTCTGGTGATTGCATCAGTGCATAATGACATATATTAATCTGTATAGCCAATATATGATTTTCAAATAGTTATCAGGCTTTCCCAGCACAGTTGTAAGCATCTTCAGGAAAGACTCCATGGATGGCAATTTTATTCTCCAAACTAGTTAGCACAGTGTTAAGCACATGGCACCCATTAAATGCACATTCAATAATAAAGGTTGGATGGAATAAGACTAAAAACAATTGTGTTCCCCCATGTCTTATCAAAAAGTTCTTCTGAAACCTTCTCTCTGGCAAGTCAATTACTAGCTGTGTGTCCTTGGACAAGTCACTCACCTTCTCTGGGCCTCAGTTCCTTCAGTGACAGAATGATTAGATGAGCTCTCAGCTTAATACTCTGTGAATTTAATAGTGTAGCGTTTCTTTTGCCTTCCTTGCCCTTCATTTCTCTCTTTCCACTTGTTTGAAGACTAACTTTGAAGACATTTTCCCAAATTATAAGATAAGAGCCCTGGAGGTTATTTTACATTGGATATAAGGGTAGACTTGAGACTCACCTAGACCCCAGGCTCACAGGGATAACAGTGGTATATAGAGGTTGAACACCGGCCCTACCCTCAGTTCCAGAGTAGATCTTGGCTTCCCTAAGGGCAAGAAATGTTTTGCTACTGTGTAATTTTTCTATTTCCCAGATATGCCATTTGGCTGTGTGACTTTGGGAAAATTACTTAATTTTTCTGAGCCTGCGTATTTGGCAGAACGAATACGCAGCTCAAATAGGCACTGAACATAAGACATTTGCGAGACGATAAAATGCTATGGAATACTATACAGGATTTATATTGTTAAGCATTGTGTTGTAGTCCACCCAATTCTAGACTGAACTTTTCCATTTTCTATATGACCTGGGGTTGAACATTCGTGTGGATTCAATTGCCACATTTGCAAAAGTAAAGGAGTTAGACTGAACAAGACTTGAAGAGCCTATCGCCCTTCAAGATTCTGGGATCCTGTAATTTGATCCAAGCCCCTGACCCCATTCTGATAGCCTCTTGTGGTCCTGGTCAGCCTTTGGAGGAGAAAGGTTGACTTATCCAGACAGCTTTGGTTGGGGTAGGAGGCAGACGTTAGTGAAGAGAATGGCTCCCAGGAGCTCCAGTGGCCCGAGACCAAGGGCAGCAGTGGGATTATCCACAGTTCTGGGCTGCTGGGCTGTAGGACCAGTAACCAGCTGGGAATGTCTTCTGGTCTCATCCTTCTGGGCTGCTTTCTCCCTAATGGGGCCACGTCTCATTTTTGCTTAAAAGCAGTGTTTGCCTGTGTGTCTCTATTCCCCCCAACAGTTGGCAGGATGGCACCTTGCTTCAGACTGACTCTCTGACTCAGTCTGTTCACCTATAAAGTAGACACAATAATGTTGATACCATATGTGACTCCATTCAGGGTAACAAATTCTTTGAATGCCTTTGTTTCGTGGTAAGTACACACCATCGCACATTGTGTTTGTAAGCCATCGTGTGTACATAGGATTTTAATGCCTTTTCTCTTTCCAGGCAGTAGTTCATTTCCAGGCCAAGGACTTGAATTCTGTTTACTTCTGGCTGTGCAAAAGCACATTCAAGTGAATGACTAAAATGCAACCGCAGTGCATGTCGCAGACATTGCAGCAGCAGGGGAGACGGCACTCTTCCACAGCTGCCCGAGAAATCACGTTGCAGTCCGGCACAAATTGCTATCTATCCATAGACCATTCTTGACCAAGCAAGCATGCACGTCATGGGCAGTTACAATCTCAAGTTTTTAAAACCAAGGGGAACTTGTATACGGGGCCTGTTTTTCAGCCTGTTTGCTACCTTTTTTGCATTCTACCCCATGTGAATTTTACAGACACTGGGCTAATAAAAAGGGTATTCGGACACCTGGACACACATTCCTAGAATGTCTTCATATGGTCCTAATTCCATGTCACCAAACAACACAAACAAGACCCTGTTTACAGCCTTTTCTTTCTTTTTTTTTTTAATTTCAGATCTTTCTGAGGAAATTATTATATATGACATATCTATAGCTATGTGTATGGCCATAGATGTATTTCTGTGTGTACATATGTATAGTCATGTATTCTTACATATGTACATACAAATACAGAGATATATAAAGTACATAAAAATTCCTTACTTGTAAATAGCCAAAAGGAACTGACATGAATGATAAATTTTCACATTTAAATAGTCATCAACATGAAGCCACGTTTAATGCTTGTATAATGTGATGCAATAAAATTTAAAATAAATTTATGCACATGGAATATTTGCAGCTGGGTCTTCTGAAATTCTGTTGTATTTCCTTCTCATAGATAAGAGGAATCATAGGCAAGTGGGATCTTTAAAGAAAGGCCTGTCTCTCCCAAACACCCCTCAGAAATCACTTTACCCTGCAGAGGGACATTTTCCTTCCTAACCCACCGTTTCCATCTACCTTCTTAGGGTACCAAACCGACTAATTAGAAATCACTCCAAAGAGCTTGGAAAATGCCACTGACACACTTCGTTGAGGAAATACGAACTATAACCAATGATACAATGCTTTTGATTATCCTGCCTACTAGTATACCCTGCTAATCCTAGGAAAGGGGCTGTCTGTCTGAGGGGAAAATGGTGTTCCCAGGCAGTGCCTGTTATAATTACTCTTCTTCCGGAAGTTGTAGAACCTGCCCTTGAACCCTGTAATCACCTTTCCTAGGCCAGCTGGGGAGAAGAGCTTTCTCCCATTACCACATCCGTCAAACACTGTCTCATTTTGGCTGTAGGCTCCCTTGAGCTGATTGATTTCCATCCCTCAGATGGCAACAGTCAGAGTGGCTGTGGGCAGGCCAGAATGCTAGCCATTCCTTAGTTTCCTCTTACTAGTACTCCTGCTGACCTGACATTCCTGGAAGTGAAATACTAACCCTCGCAGGGCCTAAACTAAGGAGGTCCACTTTACTGGAACTAAGACAAGAGGCCATTGACAGAGTTTTCTTTTCAATCATTGGCCAATACATCTGTGACATATTTCACACCAGCCCCAGGGAGAGGAATTTCCAAGGAAGGCCTCAAGAAATGAAGTACAAAGAGAAGTTACAAAAACGCAACTCACGCTACTGAGTCAGCGTTATAACTTTTGCTTGCTATGCCTGAAGCTCCACCTCAGGCGTCACAACCCAGTAAATCCTGGATTTGACACATCTGTAGCTAATTTCTTACTCCTTGGGGCAAAGAGAGTGGCAGGCAGGGGGACCTTGGGTTTGGAATGGGCCATGAACATTCAGAACTAGTGGAGGACCACTCAAGGCACCGGTCAGAATAAAGAAGTAAACATTTATCAAGTACCACTTTCCACCTGGTCTGAACATACACTGAACCTAAGCCAACTCCATGGCATGAAATTTCTTCTGTCTGTGGAATTCTGCCTTTGCTATTCCAAGTGCCTGGCAATCACAACTCCTGCTAAGTTTGTAGTATACACATCTTTTCTTTCCTTCCTCCCTCCCTTCCATTTTCCTCCTTCCAACCCACCCACTCTTCCTTCATTGTTTTTAGCAGCACAGTGAATGCACTTATTCACCTCGCCTGTTTTTGGTGCAGGGAACGTGGTGACTATCTTAAGATGTTTTTAGGTTTTGGGGGGAGAAAGGCAAAGAAGGTTGTAGAGGAGAACTTCTGAGGGACTTTGTAAGAATTCAAGTGTTGGGAATAATGACACCAAGATGGTGACATAGGTCATTCCTAACTTTGCTCTCCCTCGCAAGAAGAAAACAACTATTCATGAACAAGACACCACTGAGAGAATCCTAGAACACAGGGGGAGGCTGAGACACCCCCTGCACCAGAGACCAAAACAGACCTCATTGTGAGGGTGAGAGGAATGGCTACACGCTGACCACATTACCCCTTCCCCAGGCTGGCACAGCACCATGCCAACAGGACTCCCTTGAGCCTACAGTTCCTTCAGGGGTAAAAGGGAGCCCAGTGAGGACATCTAACTCCCCAAGCATTGTGGGTCACTACTTGGGAGCCTCTTTTCAGTCTCACCCCATGGGGATTACAGGAGAATCTGCATGACTGGACCACTAGGAATCTGATTGTGATGGAGAAGGGAGCAGGAGCTTGCAACAACCAGCACTCGTATCTGTGTGGACTGAGATCCTATCTGCAGTGCCCAAGTAGTACTCCCAACCAATAGCTTTGCTCATCTGCAGAGCCATGACAGGAAACTTGGCGGGGTGCAGGTTTGCCTTATTCAGGTCCTCCAAGGAAGATCCTTGCCAGCCCCTGAGACTGTTCTGCTCCTGCCCAGGTGGGGAAGCTATGAGTCATAGCCCCACCCAATGCTGAGTATGGCTCGTGGCCCTCCCAACCAGAAAACATAGCTAGAACAACTAGAAACTGTGTAGCCCAGCAACACACACACAGCAAGTACAGCTGGCACAGCTGATAGATTGCAGAGCAAAGCCAATAGCTATTTGGCCAAGGAACATGGGGCATGGATTGGCTTGAGTCAAGACCACAAAACCAGAGCCTTGCCAGGCTTGGAGCCAATTTTCCCCCTCCACCTAGGCAGGAAAGCTAATTTGCAGCCCCACTCCTTGCTGAATACTGCTTCAATGTGACTGACCTGGGCAGTTATCCAGAGCACACTGACAGCTGCACAGTCCTGCAGCAGCCCTGCTTACAGTGGAACAGAGCACACAGTTCATGGCTTTCCTCAGCAAGCAAAACCAGTGACCCCGTCTGGCTCAGGAATTCAGCGCAGGATTTCCTAATCTAGGTCCACAAAACATGAGCCACACAGGGCCTGGGGCCTGTCCTGCTGCCCCACCAGGGCAGAAAAGCTAATTCATAGCCTCACCTACTGCTAAGTTTAGTACCCAGTCCTGACCATCTAGGAAGCCTGACCAGGGAACCCAGGCAACCATGGAGCCCCATCCTATAGTCTTGCTTGAGCGTGGAACCAAGCCAACAGATCTGTCCCACTGTTCTCAGTCAGTGGCATCTCCTTCCAACCCCAGAACTTGTGCAGTGGGCTCACCCCAAAAATGGATCCTGATAGCAAGCCCCACCTGCTCAAGGACATTACCAGCAGATACATCCAAAATCCCAAACTAAGTTGACTGGTAAAGAACTAATTCTGCCAAAGTCTTGCATTTGGCTCTTCATATAATCTTCTGCTCTAGAGAACAAGTTAAACTCATTCAGATTTAAGTGCCAGCTATTGTTTTTCTCCAACAGGGACAGAGTAATTTCCCCAGATTACCAATTGACTGTTGGATTTAGATGCTACTTTTTACTACTATTTTCAACAAAAACTTGAGGACTTGCTTAACAATGTCCCCATTACATGAGTGATTTTATATACTTGGTATGCTCAGTTTGGATCCCATTAACTGCCTGGTAGGGAGAGGTAAGGACTAAAGCTGCTATCAGGGGGACCCTTATGCACAGTGGCTGTCAGCTTACCTAGCCATTAGTCCCCAAGGATGGAATTTTAACTTTCATTAATTCAGGTCTCACTAATTAGGAAGTTGTGATCATTTGGAAGGGCTGAGGCCCAATATGCAAAGCAAATACTGTGAACAAATAGAGTAAATATTCAGACTATTTTTAAAGAAATCATTTATATATAATTTATTTGCTGATCACAACCCAGTTTGTTTTTCCTACTAATTACCATTATCACCTAGTCCAGTAGTTTTCGAACTAACTCTAGCATGCGTTAGAATCACCTGGACCTTACCACCATTCCTGATTCAGTAGGTCTCGGGTGGGCCTGAGAATTTCAATTACTACATGTACCCCGGTGGTCTTGATACTATTCACTGGGGAACACTTTGAAAACTGACGTAGTCAATATTTGCCAAAATTGGAATTACTTTAATGTACTCTATGATTCAAGCTGAACTTAATCACTTTTATTTGACCATATAATATTTTAGAGACTATCACCCTGGTGGAAAGGTAGGTAGCAATTTCAAACTGTAGCAGTTATCAGTTAATCATAACATTCAATATGAAGCACCATCAATGCAGTTTCCTAGCTGAGCAGAGCACTGGGCATTTCTTGAAGGATTGAGTCAGTGCCACACAAAGGTCCTTCACCTTGACCCTGCACTTTGTATTAGCCCAGAAACCTGAGAATAAGTCCTCCTCACTCCAACCCCCACCCTCACCAATGTGGGAGTGATCTTACATCAACATGGACAGTACAACAAAAATATTAAGATTATGGGCTCTGGAGTCAGACAAAACTAAGTTCAGATCCATCCAAGGTGTGCGACCTTAGACAAGTGTTTTAAATTCTCTAAAATGAAGTGGACACCGTAGCACATTGCTGAGATCCCCCTTCATCTCCACCCCTTTTGAGTGCCTCACCTGGTGCAAAACCACTCCCCTTCCTGTGACAGCCATCAGTGACTAATTAATGCAGCCATATGAAAGCCTGGCTACCTTGGCCCAACTTGGGATAACTTTGAAGGGCTCCTTGCACTTCTGAGGCCCTGTGAGGAGACTGTCCTTGGATCTGCATTATAGCTCATCCTCCACCTGCTTCTGTCATCTTCCTTCCACAGGTATTGATCCCAAAGGCACTCTTTAATAAACATTAAGCACATTAAACTCCATCTCAGACTCTGCTCCCCAGGGACTCAAACCGGTGGCACTCATTTAAAAACATACAAGCAAAGAGGTGGGTGAAAACTCTAAGAGGCAGGAATTGTATGGATTCATTTATTCAACAGACATTTATTGGGCCAGACCATGTGTCAGATGCTAAGAATATGGCAGTGAACACGGATGTCTGTGTTTAAGAAAGAGATCATGAAAAGCAGTAAGAGGTTGAAATCAACTTTTAGCAAAGGATTGACTACCGCTGTAAAAAGAGAATATTTCTTCCTCCCATCACCACTCCCCCCACCTGCCTAGGTTTTTTTTTTTTTTTGTCTAAGATTATAATGTTCATGTTGTGTTCAGAAACCATAAAACCTTTGGTTGTCAATCTAAACAGAGCCTAGTTCCCATATGGGTTTCCTTTCTTACCTTCCTGCTGCTCTTCGACTCTACTAGGTT